GTGGTGGTGGTGGTGGTGGTATTGATACTGATATGCATTCCCTGTTTGTCTTCGATCATGCCACACATTCTTCTACACTTGTTGCTGCTGAGGCCGTTGCTGTCCTCGCGTTCTTGCCCTTGGTGTTGGTATTGATTGTTGTGATTTGAAGGTAGCTGCAGCTGAAGCAGCAGCTGCTGCTGGTGCCTACCATTGTTGCGGCAGCTACTGCATCGCTTCCAATGTCACTCACGCGCAGAAACCGTTGTCGGTTCGTTGGTCCTGAGCGCTGCTGCTGTTGCTGTCTTCTTTTGGCGTTGTTGCTGCATGCGTTGATCTTGCTGTTGCTGTCGTCTTCCTGACATCGTCGTCTTGGGGAGGTTGTCGTGACTGTGATAAAGCGTGTGCTGAAAACACGGGTCACGATGGTCATGAGGCTGGGGCAGTGACTATCACGATGCTGTTCGTGGGTGGTCATGGAAAATCCTCTCAACTGTCAGTATCATCCTGTTATATCCTGTGGTTTCCAACTTTGCCCCAGAACTGTGCGATCAAGCTCCAAGCCAAGCTGCTTCGAGAGATGTCCATCATCAGCTCATCGGCGAAAGCTTGCGTACCCGGCTCGCATCTGACTTTCCGAGGCCCCGTGCTGCCTTTGCCCTTGCCCTTCCCCTTCTTCTTTTTCTTTGATGTGACAGTGAAGTCCCCGTCTTCCTTCCAAGCTTGACATGAAGTGCCAACCGGAATGACACCAGAAAGGCTTGCTTCTCTTCTCCCAAACCCTAACATAAAAATATGAATCCTGATTCCTCCCAGCCCCAGAGTAACAACATCGAGCCCCATCTAAAGCATCTCCGGATACTCAGCTACGTAGACACTCATGGGCACATACTGCGCAGAAATCATGAGCTCATGTCACGCAACTCAGTCCAAGTCTTGGAGCTTAATCTAGGGGCCTTAACAGTTAGAATTTGGGGTCTATTATACTATAATCATAATACGGAACCCGCAAAATAGTATTGGTAACTATTTAGGCCCCTAAACTATTTCAATAAGAGGGGCCTGAATAAATAGAATACTTCCTTTGCTTGTGGGAAGTGGGGTACGTTATGGTGTGATAAAGCCGCTGTAGAGGGATTTTGTTATGAATTATTCAGATCCCAAATCCCTAAACCCTATTCAGATCCCAATCTTACGTAGGCTTTGCTTGGCTCAAGGGCTTCTTCTGTGGGGTCCTCCACGATCCCGGGTGGCTCGAGGACGGCTTTCTGAAACTTCTTGACATCCTGTGCTTTAGCCAAGTTTAGGTTGTATATAGCTTTTGGTTTTAAGTTTAAGGGTTTTAGGGTTCAGGGTTTAAGGCTTAAGGATTCTGGGTTTGGAGGTGTACCCTATAAATCCTAAAGGTTTAGGGTTGGAACTTGGAAAGTCTTGACATCCTCTGCTTTCACGACATCGGACTCGTCCTCACTGGCGGAGTCCAGTGCAGCGAACATGGCGCCCACTCGGGGATCAGAAACCCAGCAAGTGGAGTGTAAAGTTACACAATGACCCTATAGGACCTAACACTTAAGCAATGAAGTGACTGATCTGCACCATCGTGCTCAACTAACTGCCTGCACGAACAGGCAGAGCTTGGTACTAAATGCTTCAGAAGCCATGCTGCAGTGTGATCTTCAATCGTACCTCTCCGAAAGACGGTGACATACCAACATACAGCAACCAGAAGAACCCACAAACCCAGAACCCTTACTTCCCATAACTCATGACAGCCTAACATGCTCTTCGGCACCCAAGGCTGTCCGAAGAGACAAGCGAAGAAAACAAGGGCCATAAGCGGGGAATGGGCTAAGGCTTCTTGTTTAAAGGGAGGCTGACGGCTTTTAAATCAGGAGCCTACTAAGTACCCACTCTTCAGTGTGGTCTGTGTTATCAAGTTTCATGTTCTTACCTGGGTCTTCAGGGTGGACGCTTCTGAGGCTCAGGCCTATCGATTGACAAGGTGATCCCAACTAAGGTGCCTTCTGCCCCGGAAGTTGCGGAAATCACTCAAAAAACGCTGGTTTCGGATGGTTGGGACTTCCATAGGTCGATGCTTTAATTATTCGTTCTTCGTTCTAGGATTTTAGGATTTGGGGCAGCCTAGGAATTCTGACTCGCTGAGATGGAAACAGGACACTTGCTGAAGTGTACGAAGGCGCAAGAAAGAAGTTATATAGGGGCCTCAATGGTCACACCAGAGTTTGGGGTATACTATACTGTACGTATAACAACCCTAAGGGATTTCAAGCTTGTTCGTATTTCCGACTCCTTCAGCGGGCTCTAACCTTACTCCCAAGATCGGATTTGCGCCAAGACCTGGAGTCTCCATAGTAGTTCTTGTTTGGGGTTGCCTTATAGGATCCTACATACATATCTTTGGTCTAACCAAGAAAAGGAGGTACGGAGACTAGGGAAAGTACCTTTCAAGAGCTTACTCTCGGTTTGAAGATAACGGCAGGACTAGCCTACATGCCTGGCAGGAAAGATATGTTCAATCCTATCCCAGTCAGATAGGACCTGTTGCCTCCGCAAGCCTGTTGGGCCCCAGATTAAAGCCACAAATCGTTGAACCTCATGAACTGAAGACTGCATATCTCACAATCTTACAAACCTGAAGCTTTGAAGCTCTAAAATCAGGACCGCCAGGGCATCAACAGCCCAGCGAATCACGAAAGCCCGAAGCCCCAAGACCTACCTGCGACCCCTGCCTTCGCAAGCTGCTCTGTACTCCCCAGCGCCTCGCGCCATCGTGCCCATGCTGCCTGCACTGCTTTGTGCAAGAGGGATCCCCTGCTCCACGGACTTGAAAGAAAGTGTTGAGGGCTCATGAAGGGTAATTCCGCGGCACTTCTGCAGGGAGGTCGGAACAGCACGTAGCAGTTGTTTGAGTTCAGCTGGAATCGGCTGCATGGGATCACAACCTTGCTGACTGCTTTGGAGATTGGAACATAAAAACTGCGGGTCCAATGTATAAGTCCACCAGCGATTAGGGATTGTTGGTTTCAAGGCGTTCAGGCTGGAGTTTAAAGAGCGTCTCAAACAGAATGCCGTAGCCTCCTGCAAACCGGAATGAAAATCAGTTGCCTACTCCTGAGACCAAAAGGTCTTTGGCTCGAAGCACAGGAGTTTAAAGAGTTTTTCAGTCGCCAATCAGCCCCGCATGCATTGAACATGTTCTTTGCCTCAAATTTGTGGGCCGTCAGCATATTTAGGCAGACTATTGCTGTCTTTTCCAATTCCTCCAAGCCACACAGCATGAAGAGGGCACATGGGGCTTTACATGGACTACCCGATTGAAATGGTTTGCGAAGATCTGATTCGTGTGGGTCCTCCGGAACCTGTAAGGTAGCTGTAGTTCGCCCGTCGCTACCAGAACCCCAGCGAAGCCTGTGTATTGATGGCTGCGTTGTAGGAGATGACGTTGAGCCTGAGGTTCGGGATTGTAGGGTGTATGGTCCGAGAAAGGGGCTTCCCGTGCCTGTCGTTGCCATCCCGCTTCTTTTTCCATATGTAGCCTCAAACCTATATCTACGTGCTGTGTCTGCAGATTGCTCTTGTTTTGGGCATACTCGCGCCCATGGCGGCGCCTTGCCTCATGACTGTTCCAGGGGCCATAGACCCAGAATACCGTAGGCTAGGTATGCAGGACTCGCAAAACCTTGGACAATGGCCAAGCGCTGATTGTTGGCTACAGATGCCCGAAGGGAAAGGAGTCCATCCCGATGGCCTGAAATAACTCATTCCTTACTTGCTTCTGAATAGCAAGGGACAAAATGAGATGCATCAGTTGCCAGTTGTGAACCAGGAGATCATGAGAATTCTGTTTCTCGGGCTCTCTTTTCAAAGATACAGGATCCAATGGTTCGAAGTGATCTTTTTGCTAATGACGATGGTGTGATACTGGCCATGATGGTAGTCATGTAAAGCTGCTTGGACAATGAAAGTAAGGATCACAATTGCTGTGAAGCGGCTGCTTTATGTTTTCTACAGGCTTTCCCACTACTATCCATGCAAACGGTCAGCGCCCCAAGTTCTTGAACTGCGAGCAAGCCCTTTTCCGGTTGGCCGCTGCCCTATGCAACACACCTCCCCGCCCGCAAAAGAAATTGCTGCCCGATTGCTCAACGCTATGGCTCAGGTTGACGGACAAGACCTGCTAGGGCGGACCGAACTCTGTGGCAGGACTTCTGGTAACTAGTAGGAATACACAGGGCGCAGGAAGAACACCATCCCGATCCATGTACAGCAACTTGTTAATGCTTAATGAAACCTTGCCAAGCGAAGGAGAACATCAGGAGTTTGAAGTGTGCAATGCATGGCTGGTTTTCAGATGTGGGAGTGAGACGTGAAACCTGGCTGATGCTCAACAAGTGTGTGCGTGTGTGTGTTCTCGCTTCATGGCACAATCTTCCAGAAACGCTGCATCGCTGTGAGCTGGTCAGCAGTGCTCTCACATGCTCTCCCAGGTGAGGTTCAAAGGCGCTAGATATCAAAAGCGGTAGCGGTTTGTGGAAGCTGTTTCTCCACTCTGAAAGCCCTGTGCCATTGGAAGGTATCTTCAAGAGGTAAAGGAGCCTCCCTGGCCAGTTTCTGTACTTCATAGAAAAGTGGCGTCTCTCCTTTTGTTATGGCTGTGTGCATGTATCATGTAAGGAGGCTCTGAATGTTGTTTACAAAAACCTAGATCCCTTGCGCGCCGAGGCCCCGGGACTCTGCTAGTCCTGAGTCCCATCACTTGTGTCATGCACCGACTCACAAAGCTGCAGCTATATGGTAGGGGGCGGTACTACCCATGAAAAGCTTCACTCGAGTCCTTCGATCCTTAAACTTAAGCTTTGTAAACCCTAATGTTGCACCTATGTTTTTCATGCTGCGGTCCTCCTTGATTCGTTTCTGATCCTGCCTCCATGTGCTTCTGCTTGGGGGCCTTAACAGAATCCACCCACAGTCTCAGAACCGCGGGAGACCTTGTCATGTTGGGGGTCGACTTAAACCTTGAATCCTAGACCCCTGAATCATTCTGTCCTGGACTCCAAATTCCAAACCCTGGACCCTGCAGCCTGGACCCTACACCCTGACTGCCTGTGAAGCCACCGGCCAAGGCCCGCCATCCAAGAAGCCCAGGGAAACCGTGCAGGTAAAGCCTTCCAGCGCAGTGTTCATGGTTAAGCGCTCAGGCTTCGGCAGAGAGTTGAGGGATTCAGATTCAGGGCTGAAGGTTCAGGGTCCAGGGTTTAGGGTTCAGGGGTCGCGCTTGAGGGTTTAGGGTTCAGGGCATCCTTCTGGACATGCTTGGGCAACAGGGACTATCGAATGTTAGGGGGTAGAGGGATGATTAATATTATGGTGAGGAGCTTTTTCGGCAAGTTTTGAAAGGTTTGCAAGGGGATATAAGAAGCGGGCTTCAGTAAGGCTCCCCGAAGGGCCGTGTTTCTTTGCATCGCTTGCAAACCTTGCTGGCTTTGGGATCCACTTCGTCTGGTTTCTTGTGGACTGTCCTCTTCTTCTTGTTGAACTGCTGAAGACATTGGCTGCGCACGGCTGGCGCGCTGCGGTTTCGATGCCCTTTGCATTGGATGGGGCAGCAGCAGCCTAGCCCCGCTCCACAATCCCACATCAGGTTCCACAACGGCAGGGAACAAGCAAAGTCGAAGCCACAACAGCCTCACGTCAGGCAAGTTGGAAATGACATGCGATCTTAGCGTCAGTGGTCGCAGTTTGCAGCTCACTGGTCATCAGCCTTCATCACCTTGAACAGCAAAGCATGCTTTGGCCGGCCAGAAGTCTTTGCGAGAGGCTTTTGGAAGCCGTTGTCTATTATTGGTCCCAGGTTTAGAGTTGGTGGGGCCTGTTTCTCAAGCAAATCCATGGCAAACCCCGAAGTCGATAAGGACGACCCAGAGACGACACGAAAGTTTTCCTGTACGGAAATTAATAGAAACATACCTCAAAACTCTTAACTCCTGCCCTTTTGCTATACACTCCCCCAGAGCCGTATACCCTGGCCCGAAACCTTAAGCCCTCGGATGCCTGCAGCCTTCGAGAGGATCCGTATGTTCAGCGGCTTTCGAGTGTCCTTTACCCTATGTTGTCCCTACGCCGTGTCCAGATATGTAGAACCGCCGGAGACACAAACTGTTTGAAGTAACAACGAAACCTGCTCCCGCAACCCTGTATCCCTTCAGAATCTCCTAAGACCGAAGCTTAAAACCTGACATTCCTTAACCACAGTTCCCAAAATCAG